ACATTGACCATTTGACCTTGACCTTTGAGATATCAAGAAATACCAATATATTGAATTTGCATATAAGAAAAGTTTAACCTTTGCTATGTTGCCATAAGGGGGGGGGGATCAGTGTTTCACAAACACATCTTGTTTAAATTGTATTTAATTGATTTACTTAAAACAATAATTTATTTACTGAATCAAGGAGAATTTAAAGCAGTTGTAATACAAATAATTACTTAAAAATGGTAGTCTAATAACTATCAGGATTGAATTCTTGAAATGTAATATATAATTTTGGCTTCCATTTTAATTGTCTGTGAGAAGGAGTTATCTTTCTTCTAAATATTCCTTCATATGAAAAAAAAGTCATACTAATTAAAGTGTTGTATTAAGTATTTGAAACTTTGAACCATTTCTAAAATGGTCCTTAAAAAGATACAACTTTTTCAATTTATAAGGCTTTTAATACTGGGATTAAATGTTTTATTGTTAAATATAATAAAACAATTACAAAGAAATTGGCAAAACAAATAGAAAGTATTGTTACCATTCCATGTAGATCTCATCTAATTGATTACTCAGAAAGCTCAGTTAGGAAACTGTGATTAGTCTTACATTTTATACTTTCATAGTTACATGTATCTCCTTCATCAGAGGGTTGATACCTTGCAGTTTTTCTAGTAAATAATGCCGATTTTAGTAAATATGATAAGTATTTCATTTACTTAGTATTCTCTTAAGTAATAATATTCTAGATTTTAATTAATTTCAGAATTACATTTACTTAGTAATAATTCATAAAATCTAGTAAATAGAAAGCATATTATCTCTAAATTAAGTAATAATAATTTACTAAAAATGAGTAGTTCATTTACTAAGTAATATAATTCCTATTACGTATTGATACTTAGTAAATCGTTTTATAAGTAAATGAATTCATCCTTATTACTAATTATGTTTACAATTACTAACCATGATAGTCATTTACTTGCTATTCTGACTAAATGGATTACTAATAATTACTAGTTTTTCTTAATCTAATATCTTATTTTAAAAACAACAAGTAAAACTTTTTTTAGAGTGTCTAAAAAATGGTTACTCAAATTCAACCCTTTAAAAACTAAAGCTGTTTTCTTTACACTAAAAAAGATTTTGACCTTCCTAAAATTTAATTTCAACAATGTCAGAATTTGAATATTCACATAAGTATCTTGGTTTACTTTTTTCTTTAAGATTTAAGCTGGTCTGTATACATAGATAACGTTGAAAGTACTGTCTATAAAAAGCTTGGTCTTTTGAAAAAGCTCAAATTCACTCTTGGACGAAACACTCTTTTAAAAATTTATACAACTTTTGTCAGGCCCCATCTCGAATATGCCTATGTTGTCTGGGACGGCTGTACAGTTTACGATATAGAAAAACTAGAGAAAGTCCAGCTAGCTGCAGCAAGAACCATCACTGGTCTCCCGATTTTTATTTCTAGAGAAATTCTCTATTCAGAGACAGGATTGGAACCCCTAATTACAAGAAGAAGAACAGCTAAATTAACCACTATGTTTAAAGTACACAACAATGTTGTACCCGATTATCTTAAACAAATATTTCCAAAAACTCGCGGAATTGAATCTACATATAATACAAGAAACACAGAAGATTACTCTATTCCCAAATGTAGACTTGAAACTTTTAAAAAATCTTTTGTACCCTCTGCAATTAATTCCTGGAATTCCCTTTCTAAAGACGTGAGAGACACAACCTCTATTAGTAAATTTAAAACAAGAATATGTTCACATCCCTCAAAGCCACCTTCGTATTTTTCATATGGGAAACGCTATTTAAATATAATTCACACAAAATTAAGGCACAGTAGTGTACTTAATAATGATCTTTATCGAAGAAATATAATTGACTCTCCTAACTGTTCATGTGGACAAATTGAAGATGTATACCATTTCTTTTTTGTATGTAAAAAATATGAGCGGCCAAGAAATTGCCTCTTAAACAATATTTTACAATATAATCACTTGGCAATAGTCAACTCCCATCTCTTATTATTTGGTAATGATTCATTGTCAGTTGATGTGAATAACAAAATATTTCACTGTGTCCAAAGGTTCATTCGTGATTCAGGTAGATTTTGATCCGTTTTTCTTCTTCTGTTTCTTTGTCATTTAATCATATCTATACAACTTTCTTTGTTTATGATGCGATAATTTTACTTGTGACCATGTTTATTATTTATTATCATTATTGTCATATATATATTTTTTTTCCCAAATAACTGTTATAATTGTAATCATTTACATGTATCATTATAGATCTACTTATTGTAAGAACTCTGAATCTTTAGTAAGTGTCTTAACTTGAAATATTTTGTATTAACTTGAAATATTTTGTATTTATCTTGTATATGTATAACTTTACACCTTAAATTGTTATTTTGGCAATCACTAATTTAATTATTGTATATATTACAGGGAGAGGTTTTTTAAGTTGCAAGAACTTGTTACCAATCCCATTGTATAAATTATACAATAAAATATGTTCAAAACAATGAAAAAAAAACGTTCACCAGCATTTGACTTAATGATATTGTATTTGCTGATAAGGTCATCGACCATACAACTTGCAAAATGATTACTTTAAACCGCACTGTTCATACTCGTGTTTCATCAATTTGTTCGTCAAAAATGTTGTCTTTTTATGTTCCAGGTTAGAAATCCCATGTCAGACCTCAGGGTTCTCAAGTTATTTAGATGTAAAAGATTGACATTGACAGGTTCTGCAAATCTGGTGGCATGCACCCAACCTCTTCACAATCTCTCCATGATCAAAATTTATGTCAAAAGGTTCTCAAGTTCTGGTCTAGGCGTGTTTTTCATTATTTGAGCTTGAACAAAGAAATAGGTTGTCAAATATTCTCATGGATCTTGTATTCATGACATCCTTCTATGTTTCAAGTTTTAATGTCAAAGGGTCCGCAGATTATGGACTAGAGTCTACTTTAGATCTCAAAATTTGATCTTCAAATTATCAGTAGGTTAAGATCAAACCTTATGAAGGCAAGCACCTCTCCATCATACCACATCTCTATTTTTCATTTTTTTGGTCTTTTTGGTCAAGGGATTCTTGTTCTTTGTTTGTCTTGGTCTATTTTTCCTAACTTGGAATTAAACCAAGAAAAAAGTTTTTAAAAGGTGTTCTGCGTCTTGTCTAAATGCACATCAAAATTATGATTTATGATATACTCTCTCTAATTTCTAAGATTCAAATAATATTATCAAAAGATTCTCAGGCTATAACATGAACTAATTGCTGTTAATGATTGACCATGACTTTATAAGTCAAGATTTAAAAAAAAAAAATGAAGGGTGTAGAAAAATGACTCAAAAATATGTCTTTCATTTGAAGGGGAAAAAATGTTAATCAACAAATCGAATGCCGAACTGAAGGTTTTTGTATTAGAAAGTAAATCCCTCTTCATAAGAAAAATAACAGCTCAGCCAACAAGGGTAACACGGATCTTTCCCATTGGAATTTCAACAGTTTTTGAAGACCTGGTCTCTAAAGAATGCATAGATATGTTTAAAGCCATATATGGCGTAACTGGTCAAAAAATATATTTTTGAAAAATACAAAATATAGAAATATAGTTGATACATTTAAATTAAAGCTTTTCATACAATTGTGAACACGGAGAACACCTCGTTTTATCTAATAATACGATTTTATCTTCTCTGTAATGTGTTATTTAAATCTTTTGTTCCAAATTAAATTGCGATATCTTTATAACGCAATTGATTTAGATTTTGTAATTTACGGAAAAGTTCTATCTTTATATAAAGTAATGATACAAATAATAAGTTCTTATAATTTTAGTCCAATAATTTTCATTGTAAATACGCCATATATGGCTTTAATGAGGAACTCAAGCATTGTTTTAATATAAATATCAGAGTACCTGTCTTCAGTATCAGTATTGTTATTAAAAGCAACTTTGTAAAACACCAAGCAGAAGGTGTTTCTAAAAAAAAGTTCCATTACCCGGTATCTTTGAAAAAAAAAGAGTTACAAAACCTAAGCATCCAATATAGGGAAATACCCTTTTTACCTATTAAGGTCATTGTTTATCAAGGTTGTCGAGTAAAATGATCAGACAATGTGACAAATAATCACCTTGTGCAAAAAGAATTAATAATAACATCAAAGTAGGTTTATTGCTTCTCTGAGAGATACTATATGTATCAGGATGTAACAGACAGAAACAGTGGGAATAAAGCATGAACGGTCTAGTGAAGTACGATTATAACTGATCAGCACCAGACGAATAAAAGTGCAACCATCGGAAATCAATTTGTTACAATAATGTTCATGTCAACAATAAAATGTATCCCGTTGATGTTGTGCAGTCTCTCCTGTGACATTTTAACCAGGAAGCGGATAGAGAATCATTAGTATTCATGTCACCAGATTTCCGGAATTTTTAATTATCTAGGTTTCCCTCAGTAGTTTGTGATGCAAGAAGATTCCCACAAAAATTAAGGAAAGAGATTTTATGAAATTTAGTAATTGCATGTATGAAGAGGCTCAAGAGACGATCATTCAACGATTTATTGCAGTATCTGCTTATTTCAATTGAGAATAATCACGGAAGTAATTGTCGGTATGCGTGCATGTATGGTTGATAGATTCAACTTAAAATACCAAGACAATTCCTCAAGAACATGGTTCATTAGGGCAAAGTGATGATCAAATTAATTTATGTTACTGTTATTGTCTTTATTGTCACGATAAAATTCGTTATTAACTATTCGAGTGATGGGAAATCTTGCTTAAAAGTATAAGGCACTCTTTAGTTGACCATACAGGTAAGAGACCTTAAAAGGTTGTTCAACCTTACATGTTGTTCAAGGAGAAACTTTCACGGAATCACTTTTATTAATTTGTTGAAGAGTCACAAGATATGTATTAATATGAAAAATCAATGAAAGGTTATGAAAAAATAAGCAACCAACCTGTTGCCAAATGAACGAGAAGGAGAAAAAGCAATGTCCTCATAATGCACGGATCTTCCCTACACAACGACGTGATCTGTAAAGACTTATAAGATAAGAAGTTCTCTGTAAGTAACCAAGTTAAGGTGAAAGATCTTCTTATCATTTTTGTTGGAAAATACCAGAAAATTCATCGAGTGCATGCAAGAAAATTTTACATGAGACTTGTCTCTGAAAATTTGATTTTTCTTTTCGGTTAAATTTGTAAAATATATGATTTTCGCTACCGCTTGCATAGAACTAACCCAACCAATAGGTTTTCCTGGAAAGCGAAGACCAACTTTTCTGATTAAAAGAGAAAAAGTTCTCCCTTTTTTCTCTGGTTATTTTACGACAGTTTTCTCAAGTGACAGTTAAAGAATATCTATTTGGTAAATACTAATTTATCGAATGGCATTTGCAATTTTTAACTTCTGTCAATGTTCCCATTCAAGACCTTGTACGTCTGTCATTTCTTATCCGCAATCTTCTAAAAAAGGAAATCGATATCCATATTTGATAACTCTTTTGTCAGATTCTTAAAGTGTGGAAGCCAGGTTTTTGACAAATAGCAAAACGGTAATTACCTTCTTCGCGGAGATTAGTAGAACTTCAGCCGATCTGAATCGTGTCTTGAAGAAATCAATGGATTAATATAGAGTAAAGTAAGCTTTTGTTTAAAAAAAATGTTCTTTTATGAGGATAAATTTGCTGAGTTCAGACTTTTTGATTTCATTTTCTTGTACGAAGACAAGCATCCAAAATATCAGGATTTATAACTACTTGACACTAAACATTTAGTTTCTGGTGTTTTTTTTTCATAATAAAAAGGCAGTTGTTGAATAAAATCGCTTACATAACTTTGATTGCGTCAGACAAATTAACGATTTTATAAGTAGCCCAGACCGCTCCTCTCTTTTCATTGTTGTAGCTGTAAGTCACATAGGACATTCCTATCTAAATCATTTGAATATCCCAGTTACAAAATACATTATTAGTCTCTGTTTGCAGAGCAAACATTGATAATGATCTGCAGTCCTTGAACATCTTCAATAATCTAAATATTCTGTCTCATTGTCACAGGAAACATGCCGGAAATATATTTTTTTTAGAAATCTTTCATCAGAAACAAATCTTACATTGAATCGATTCAGTAAATACATGTACTTCTCAGTTGGCCTAGGAGTTCTTCGATATAATATTGACTTCTCTGCCATCGACTGAAGCTGGAATAGAAGGACTTGGAAAAACAAATATGTAACAGATGTTTTATCCACAACACGTGAAGTAATTAACAGGAATATAACTTAATAAGTACCATCCAAACTGCTGAGTCCTTGGGCAGATAACATTTTGGAGAGGGGATTTTCGCAAAAATACACTCAAACATGAAAAATGTAAACGAACTCAAAATCAGGCATTTAACAGTTTATTATAACGATCATGACTAGTTGTAGTGATTTTAATGTCTTCATGACTTCTTGCTAAACTTTCTACTATTGGCAGCCAAACGCAACATATAAAACAGCGTGTAGTGACATGACAAGGCTATCACTTAATCATGCTGATTCATATTTTGCAGATAATTGGAGAATTCAAAATTATTCACATTCATAGGAATAATGCTTTATTATCTCTCCAAGCATTTATACGAAAGGACGGCACAGATAAAAGGTCTACTTGTCATTTCGTATTTCTATTCTTTGAGTCCTTATGGGCATCCATTGTATTTTTCCACCTATGCTCTAAGTTACAATTATGATACAAAAACTCATGTATTCATAGGCTTTCCAGGCGTTTAATAGTCAATATCTTACAAAAAGGTTACAGTTTTGTTACAAAAATGTCTGTTTTTAATGAAAAAAATGACTTCTTAATACCAAGAGTTGAACTTCAAGAATAGGTGTTAATCTTGGCATCTTGGCATAATTTACTGGCATTTGTACATTTGATTCCATTTCGTACTGGTCTTTGGCAAAACAATTGTAATTTACAAAAGAAAAAAAAGCGAAATCCAGCAAAATAGATATTCAACCCAACGTGACTGTATGAGACGGATTTTTCTTGCTGACTGGAGAACTTTTTTGATGGGAACAATATTGAAAAAAAAATCTATTCCAATGATCCCACTCTACTAAGGTTAAGTACTTTTATAGTCATCACAAAGTAAACGTATGACCATGCTTATGAATTTTATGTCTATGTACTGATTGTACTGATACCTGATGCGTGGTGGTTATGCAGACTCTTCAATTATTGGTAAATGAAAGAAACCTTTGATGATATGTTGTCAATTAGTTTTTACCAAACATAGAATACCAAGATATTTTTATTAGGTAGAAAATAGGAAAAACTGATGTTCACCGGAATGCTCACGTAGTTAATAATGTGATTTAATATAGTTTGTGTAGAATAGTACACGTTGGCTGATACGTGTAAGTCTAGTTTTTTCTTGGTTTCTTATACAATTCCTGTTTGAGAGAATTGGGTGCATTTCTTGTCTTCGCCACTACAAATTGATTTTTACCACAATCATTACTATGAGTAACTCATGAAGAACATTTTGAAAACGATAATATCCTTACAGAAAAAAATCTTGTTTGTCAATGAATATACAAGACAGGTTAACCAAGTCGAGTTCACCAAAATATTATTGGTGAAAAATATTCATTTGAAAAACACTTCCATGTTACCAAAAATAAAGAAATATTTTGATATAAGCTAAATGTACTATAGAAGACCAAATGCTGTAATGTTCTATGAACTTGAATCAAATTCAAATGTACAATCTTTTCATTCATCTGTAAAATATCTCCTGGAGGGCCAAAAAGAATAAAATTTAAAAAGAGTTTAATTTAAATTACATAATTGTGACGCATACAAACAATTTTCTTCTGGAAAGAAACTTTTTTTTATATTTTATTTTGCAACTTAAAAAAATCTTTACAAAATATTTTGATATTTAAATTAAGGAATCATTGGATGAACTTTGCTTGATTGCCATATTCTTATTGCAAAGACAAACTGGTTCTATCGAAAGGTGTTTCTGAGAAAGTGAAAATGACAATGCAACTTTCTCATCGAAACCTTTAAAAAAACTGAAAGTGAGACTATTGCTAGTCTGTATTAAGGTCTGATAGCACATTTCTTAAATATCTAGTATGTATCTCTTCGTATGATATATTTTTTAAAAATCATAATTGTCATTCTCTTGTGAATTCTAAACTGGTTTTTCAAAGTCTTTAAAAATAAGTACACCAAAAACTGTGGTATTGGCAATTCTCGTGATTTTTGATAAGTTTATACAGGAAACTCTAACCGCTGATGTACAAGAAACTTGTGAAAAAATTGAAATCAAAACTTTAAAAAACACAGCAACAACAAAACTTACGACTTTTCAACTCTATTTACATCAATTAAAGTCCAAGGTTTTTGAAATCATTGACAGCTACTTTTTCAATAAAAATGGAACTCGTAATTTTACTTAATTGTCATGGGTCAAAATTATTTTTTTAAAAACTGTCTGATTGTACTCACAAATACTCTGAAGTTGATATAAAAAAGACTCGTAAATTTACTTACTTTGTTAGTGCTCATTTGCTAAAGTATTTTATTAAAAAGCATATTCTACAGAGAAGTGCTCTGAAGTTGATATTAAAATGATGCTCTAGTTTCTTATTGACAATAACAATGTGTTTATGGTCTTTCAACAATCTGTTGCATCGGTACCAATTGCGCCTCGTTATTCATAGACCTATTTTAATTTGCATTCATATGAAGTAGAATTTATTCAAAATTTTATACACGAGAAGAAAACACTTAATGCAGCCTTCAACTCTACATTTAGATATATCAACGACGTATTATCAATAATAATTACTTAGGGTAGTTACTTCCATTCGCATGTCGGTTCGATATATCCAAGTGAGCTTGAAATAAATGATACAACGGAATATAAAACAATTTTTTTTCCATATTTGAATAATTTAACAGAAAAAGAAGTCAACGGTACCCACACAACTAAAATTTAATATAAACGTGATGACTTCAACTTTTCAGTCATCAACTTTCCTTATAAAGCAGCATACTGTTATCACCTGCATATGGGGTTATGTCTCTCAGTTGATTCGATGTGCAGGAGAATGCTCTACGAACGAACAATTTCTAAAAGGAAATTTGTTATTTAAAAAAGCAAGTTTTTGAAACAAGAATATAAACAGACTTGTTTAAAGTCATCATTTCGCAAGTTCTATGGTAGATACAATGACCTTACCAGAAAATACAGTTGCATGTATAATCATAAAGTCAAATTCTGATAGACGTTTTTCGTACTTATTGCTGTTAATACAAGGAACACATAACGGATGTTGACAGTTGGTAAGGGATGCTCATATTCCATGACACTTAATCTCAGTTTTGGTGCTCCTAATTTGTATAGTTTGAATGGACAGTTTTAACTTAACTACTGTTCGTCATCTCCATATTTAATACCGTATAAGCAGAATTTTTAGCGAGGATTTAATTTTGGCATTATTAGCGAGGGTGCCAAGATCGCTAAAATTGAATATCGCTTAAAATTAATTGCGCTTTATTTGTAATAGCTTTTAAAATCGCTAAAATTAGATCTCGCTAAAAATAAAATACCAATATTTAAGGGCAAATCGCTAAATTTGCGTCTCGCTAAAATTTCCACTAAACGGTATTTCACAAATGGCTAGTAAGGTACCTCAATTTTTTGCAAAGAAAAATAATTAAAAGTAGTTCAGTGACAAATAATAGGTGAAAAATGGATATTATTTAAAAAAACACACTTTACTTGATTGCTATATCACATGCCATATTGCCATATTCTTTTTGCAAAGAAAAACTGGTTCTGTCTAAAAGTTTTTCTGATACATTAAAAGAAACAATACAACTTCCCATTCAAAACCTTCCAAAACAAATTAGTGATACGATTGCTAGTCTTTTTTAAAATCTGATGACACATTTCTAAAATGTTTGGTTTATATCTCTTCGTAGAAGTTATTTTGAAAATAATAATTGTCATTCTCTTGTGAATTCTACACTGTTTTTAAAATGTCTTGAA